TTTCTACTTGGTTGATTTCAGCCCTGAGTTTGATTATTTCCTGCTGTCTTCTCCTCTTGGGTGTATTTGCTTCTTTTTGTTCTAGAGCTTTCAGATGTATTGTCAAGCTTCTAGTGTATGCTCTTTCCAGTTTCTTTTTGGAGGTACTTAGCACTGCTTTCATTGTGTCCCATAGGTTTTGGCATGATGTGCTTTCATTTTCATTAAATTCTAAAAAGTCTTTATATATATATATATATATATATTTAAAGGATCTATAGATATATTTGGTTCATAACTTCTGTTAGTTTTACTGTGTCTCTGTTTAGTTTCTGTTTCTATGGTCTGTCCATTGCTGAGAGTGGGGTTTTGAAGTCTCCCACTTATTATTGTGTGAGGTGTAATGTGTGCTCTGAGCTTCCATAAAAGTTTCTTTTATGAATGTGAGTCCCCTTGCTTTTGGAGCATAGATGTTCAGAATAGAGATTTCATCTCTGTAGATTTTTTTTCCTTTGACCAGTTTGAAGTGTCCTTCCTTATCTTTTTTGATAATTTCTGGTTGAAAGTCAAATTTTATTTGCTATTAGAATGGCTACTCCAGCTTGTGTCCTGGGACCATTTGCTTGGGAGGCAGAGGCAGGCGGATTTGTGAGTTCTAGGACAGCCAGGGCTACACAGAGAAACCTTGTCTCAAAAAAATAAAGAGTTTGTCGTGTCCAGCACCTAATATTTGGTAAATACAGGCAGTTAAAGGAATTGTGATCAGTTATTTTGATTAATGTGTACATCAATTACATTAAATAGAAGTATGAAAGTTTGAGATGTCCTCCCTGGATTAATTGTAACCCCCATGTATATGCATACTGAGCAGTGAAATGCTTTTGGTACCTGAAACTCTTTGTTTCATTGCTTATGACATAACTGCTATTTTGATGTCTGAATTACTCAGTTTGTGTATTTTTTCAAGCATCTTTAGCATGCTGGTTAATTTCATGGTGCTTTCTTTTCTCTCCTGTTGTTGAAAAGCTAGACAGCGACTAGAGCTAGAGGGCCAGTGTGCCTTTGCCATGTTCTCTGTTCTGAGAGAAAGCAGTTCTACTCTGTCAGCCTTCTAAGGAAAGTGAATCAAATCCCATTTTTGGTCAAGTTAAGTTTCTAAAGTAAGACAATAAAACCTGACTTTACTTGGTTTCAAGGTCTGTGCCTGTTAGACTGGCGTTTAGATGTTTAATTGTCAGGGGCAAGTTTAATTGTGCTTATCATGGGCTCTTGTTTGATTACAGTTTAATTGTGCTTATCATGGGCTCTTGTTTGATTACAGTTTGCAGTCCTGATGTGGGTCTTTACTTACGTTGGTGCCTTGTTCAATGGTTTGACACTACTGATTTTAGGTAAGTCTACAAAAAGATTGAAAAGCACTTAGAGACATTTTTGTAGAGAATATCTTTAGTGTAAAAAATATATATACATATATAATGTGAGGTTGGGAGGTCTTTAAGTAGCTGATACTAATACTGTTTCATTGAAATGCTATGTCAGCTCCTGAAGACTATTCCAGCTAACAGCTCTCTTACCTGAGGGTACACTCCTGATTTTAAATTAGGGTAGCTGTATTTTATACAATCTCTGTGATGTCGTTTGAAGCTAAGCATGGTTCCTCAGTACATGCAGGAGAACGTGAGCATTTCCCAGACCTCAGGAGAGTGTATGTATGGACATTTATGTATACTTTAAGAGCACTGCAACTTGGTTACTATTGGCTTGATAGTATGATGTTCACTCCTGGAGTGGTACCAGTCTTTTTAAATTTATTTTTAAAGCTGTGTGTTTTCCTTTTCAGCTCTGATCTCACTCTTCAGTATTCCTGTTATTTATGAACGGCATCAGGTAATTTCTTAACTGTGGAGACTGCAGAACATAGTGCTTACTCTTATTATATAGGACTCACAAAAGAGCCAGGCTTAAGGCTTTCATTTGTGGGTATGGAGTTCTGTTTGATACTCTTTGACAATGGTACGTTTGTAATGCGTTTATCCTCTTCCTCAGGCGCAGATAGACCATTATCTAGGACTTGCAAATAAGAGCGTTAAGGATGCTATGGCCAAGTAAGTATGCCCTACAGCCTCCTTGCCAAGGGTGAAGCCATGATCCTGCAGTGTCCTTTCGGCATTGGGAGAACATGTGTCCTTCCAAGGCCAGCATTAACTCTACATTTGGTTTTTTAAAACATTAGGCAAAGGTGGAAACATTAGTTTATATTTTGGTAGCTTTACAATTCTCTAAATAATATATAGCATAGTGGGTTTTTTTTTTTTTTTTTTAAGAAGCGGGAAACAAAACAAACAAAAAATTTGACATTTTTCTTTTCATTTGTAGAATCCAAGCAAAAATCCCTGGATTGAAGCGCAAAGCAGAATGAAAAGGCCCCAGACAGTAGACGTTCATCTTTCAAGGGGACACTCACTTGATTACGGGGGTGGGTGGGTCAGGGGTAAGCCCTTGGTGGCCGTGTGGTTTCAGCTCTTTATTTTTAGCAGTGCACTGTTTGAGGAAAAATTACCTGTCTTGACTTCCTGTGTTTATCATCTTTGTAAGCTGCTGTGTATGGATCTCATTGTAGTCAGACTTGTTTTCCCCAGAGGAGGCACTTGGTGGATAAAGGACACTGGGAAAGCTGTGGATTATTATCTGTTGCAGGTTAGTCTGGCTGTATCTGCAAAGTTGCAAAGAAGGTAGATCTGGGGACAGGAAAAACCCTTCTCACAGTGTACTGTGTTTGGTCGGTGTAAATCGCAGATTTTTCTGAAGTGAAATGTTTAGCTGAGAGCATACTACTAAAGCAGAGTGGGAAAGTCTCTCTGTGGTGTGTTCTAGGTGTAGTGTGAATTTACTGTTATATTGCCAATATAAGTAAATATACACATAATCTGTACATAGTGTTTCACAAAGCTTAGATCTTTAACCTTGCAGCTGCCCCACAGCGCTTGACTTCTCAGTCATCGGATACACAGTGTAGTCCCAAGCACATAAACTAGGAAGGGAATGTATTTGTAGGAGCGCGACCGCCTGTTTTCAAGAAAACATAGAACTCCAACATAAATGTCGTTTCAAAGACTTACTTGTATGTATAGTTAATTTTGTCACAGACTCTGATTCTATGGACTGAAATTAATGCTTCCAAATGTTTGCAGTTATCAAACATTGTTATGCAAGAAATCATAAAATGAAGACTTATACCATTGTGGTTTAAGCCGTACTGAATTATCTGTGGAATGCATTGTGAACTGTAAAAGCAAAATATCAATAAAGCTTATAGACTTACATTTGTGTTTAGTGTTTTAGTTTCATGAATGCACAGCAAAAACATGGTAGGCTGTTTAGAGAGTGGACACATGGTGACATGCTTTTAGAAAGGTTTTAGTTCATGAAACAGCTTAAGAACAAAGAATATATTTACATAGTGAGATTTATTTGACCCATAACAAAAGGTTTTAAATTATTTTATACTTTGAAAATAAACTCATGCACCAATATTTTAACAGAATACAGTGCAAGATTTATGAATATACATAAAATTATACCATATAAATTTTACAAAGAAGACTTTCAAAGTCTTTATAACAGACACTATTGCTCTTCAAATATACGTACATATATCATTGATTAGTCAGTTGATCATCCACATGGTTACTTAATGCAAGATCTGTCTGAATGAAAAGTCAGTAGTACAAGATAGGCAGACACAGTTATCACTCAGCATCACCAGATACAGAAAACAGAATCAGGGCTGCATAGGGCTCTACTGTGGACCCAGCAGCCTGCTAGTGGGTTAATGTAAGGCATTAATAAATTGGCGTGTAAAATAGCTTAATGTGTAATCTAATCCTTTTAGAATGCTGAAGCACTTCTGTGGTAAATGTTAATAATCTAGTCTTTAACTGAAAATGCTCATTTCTCCCTTTCTCTAAATTGGCAACTGCAGATAGCTAGGAACTCAAGGTGGAAAATTTTAGTGCACAGACTGGAAGGACTCAGTGGTGTGTGTACTCAGGACTCCAACTCCCACCAGCCTTCTTCCAGTGAGTGCCCTCTGTAACAGAACTGAGTGAGGGCCTTTTGGCTAATAATCTTCAAGTCACATTCTGTCCTGCAACTGACTGGAGAAATTCAAATACTCCTTATAGTGGGGAATATGTTCAAGAGGTTTTTAAAAATCTGAATTACCCTGCATTAATCATCTGAAATGAACGGAGCCAAGCCAGCCCTACCCAAGGGGGTGTAAACTCAACAGCCTTTTAGCAAGACAGGTGAGCTCACCTGAATACATTGGAGCTTTCCTCTCTTTACGTGTGGTAGAAGCTGTTTCATTGGGGATGCCAGGCTACAGTGAAGATCTGACACTAACATAAAACCCATGCTACTTCCTGTAGAATTGGATTCTCTGCTCACCTTCTAACTACATTCCCAGAGCAGGACATAGTGATAAATCTGCTAATCCCAGAGCCCCCCTCAGTTTCCAAGTTTTAGCACCATGTGAAGGAAGGAGACCATGTGGGAAGTGAGGCAGCAGCCCACACAACTGGGAACCTTGAAGGCACTTAATGGATATAAAACTGCAAATGAAACTTTAAAAAATTAACATTTTTAAACTTGTTTATACATGGCTCATTTGGTTTTGAAAGCTAAATGTGACAAACGGTATTTCTATACTTAAAGTGCTTCCAACTTACATTGTGTCCAATGAACATTCTTGAAATACATAGAAACAGAATAGCAAAACACCTTTGTAAAAGTCTTAATGCAAATTAAAAGCTACATATTGGTTAGGGTAACTGAGGATGTAAATTTTATCAGTGGGCTACATCATCCCAATTTCATCATTAGTGTAGTTATAAGTATAGGTTTTAGTCTCCAGAACAGAAGCAAACAGTCTTAATATTGTAGGAATGTACCTTCCTTCTTAGCATCACCATCTTGCAAAGTCCAGATTGTGAGAGTCCTACAACTTCACTAGCATTCAGAGCTTGTGTGTCCCACAGTAGTTGGCATCGAGGAGGTGCCCCTATACTGCAAGTAGCTTGGGAGAAGCAGCCATGGGGTTCTGGTGTTTACAGACATCGCCACACAAATACACTGAAAGGCAAACCAGACATTTTTGTGTGGTCAGATACTATAATGCTGCCAAGTGTCACAGCCTTGCCAAGTGCTCGTGTAAGCCCATTGCCACCCATTGTAGTGTACTCTCCTTCCCAGTCACCATTTTTAATTTTTTTTAAGGTTGTTTTTTGGGACAGGGTTTTACTGTGTAGTCTGAGGGTTATAGGTGTGAGCCATCATGTCTGGTTTACTGTTCCGTTCTAGAGTTCTTTGACGTGTATCTCCTTAGACTCCTTTTGCTGCTTTGAGCATTTGTGCAAAATGAAGTCACTGGGGACTTTTGGCAGCCCAACACACTATCTGTCCTGTTACTATTGAAGAGGGTTCATCAGTGCGTTTGAATGAAGCCCCTTTTACATGTTATTTATACACCATGTCCTCAGGCCTTATGTTCTTAAGTTACTTTTAAGTCTTGTTTGTAAACAGAAGTCACCTTGTATTTCCTGCACTGGGCTAGCCAGTTCATTTAGGCCTCTTCTTCCCATCTGTTTGGTTGGTACTGTTTTGAGTGGTTGCTCATTTTTCCAAAGGAACTGGTGTCATTACTACCCCAAGCAATAATCCAGTGAGCTAGCACAGTGAGCTGGAGGCGGCTCAACAGGCACAGCGCACTGTGTTCTTTAAAGGTGCTTCTCTTACAACTTGACTTAGACCACTATAAATATCAAATTTTAATGGTTTAAAATTAATTTAGTGCCTGTACACGCACATGTACAAGCTCGATTTCAGGGGTGGGTACTCTCCACCATTTGGATTTGATCACAGGGCTTGAACTCAGGTCATCAGGCTTGCTAGTCCTGTTTTTCTTTTTCAGCTACCTCTGAGTTTTTATTAAGCAAAGACAATATTTGATAATGTAATAAAACCTTTCAGTATGTTGAAACTGAGTTATAGAATGCCGTGGTCCTGTCCTCTCCATATGCTAGGAAACCCTCTCCTACTTCAGAAATGAAAGAGGCTACAGACCTATGGGTCAGGTTAGAAGGGTTCCTTCCTTCTGAAACAATGGCTTCCCAGCCATGCTTCATGCCAAATGACCTGTGTAGCTCACCTTGAGGTCTAAAGCTGCTTTGGCTCTTTGTCCAAATAGCTTGTTGGACTTGGGCTAAAATCTCAACATCTCCTCTTCCTGATAGCAACTCATTTGCTTCCATTGTTTCTTACTGTCACTAAAGGCTCAGTGTTATTAGCATCCTTAAGCTTAATAAGATGTTATTAGCATCATTAAGCCTAGCTTAAAGATGCATCTGAAAGACATTAACACAGACTGGCAATTCTCAAGGACACATGGAGGAAGGTTGAGTTAACCTGATTCTCAGTGATTGTTTCTACTGAAGTTAGCCATTCCAGATTTCTTACCCCTTTGCCCCTCATCCCCAGCAATGTTCAGAATAGCTTTCATATGACCTGAGCTCAGCCAGTCCCAGGATAGCCTTAGTAGGGACATAGGCCTGTCAAAATTTGTTGAGAACCCCAGCAGCAGAATATAGTAGGGTTTTTTTTCCCCCTAAAAAATTGTGAAGTTTCCTTTTTATTGTTCCATATCAGACCCTCTCTGTGTCCCTGGCAGAAGCTGGCCCACAGGACACCCATACTAGGCAGAATTAATCCCATACAACCTGCAGTCGTCTCCTCCGGTGCTGACCACATACTTGTCATCGTAAGAGAAACGGATGTTCGTCACATGAGCAGAGTGACCAAAGTAACGTTTATGCTTGGCCTGTGAGGAAAAGCAGAAGCAGCTGAGCTCCTATTGATTGCAGTAACTTGATGGGTTATCGATCCACCAGCTGTCCCACTCCCAGAAACCCCCACAGCTCTGAGCAAGGCCTTGAAGAGAGGGTGCCTGCCATGGCCTTGCAGTTTCCCTTCCTCTATGGCTGCAGACTTCTCTCCCCTGATACCCAGGCTCGTCTCAACAGTAAGCACTGCATTTCCAGGTGCATCTGTCAGCCACACTTTTGCTGATCTCCCTGCCTGATTTCTTCCCCAACTTTGTGGCCATTTGTCCATCCACCAGAGGCTAGCCGTGATAACTCATGGTCATCTATAGGACTATATAGGACTGTATAGGACTGTATAGGACTGTATAGGAGCATGGCCCGAAGACAGCTCAGGGGTTACTTGGGAAGACTCACGAATTTTTCTGTGCATGGAAAATCAAAGAGCTTCACCAGCCCAAAGTCATCCCCTGTGACAATGTTCAAGCCAGCATGGGTCACACATGCACAGTTGACATCAGCCTTGTCTGCATTTCGTGGCCAGATTCCAATGACTTCATCTCCAAGAACACTGTTCCAAGAAGAAAAGGTGTTAGGAAGATGGGACACAACTTCCTAGGGCTGTTGTCCCCTCCTAGGGTAAGAAGTAGATAGGGATTGTATGTGATTTGGCCATGTGGTTTCTGTCATGAACCAGCCACACCTTACTCTGCATATTTACCACCTGGCACTGCCCTTGCCAACTCCCCTACATTCCAGAAAGAAAAATTCCGTATGGTTCTACTGAATATGTTGTCAAGGACGGAGCTCCTGTGCCTTCTATCTTCAGGTTACTAGAAGTTTCATTGTTGCTGGGCTTGGCAAAACATTTGAACTTGCTGAATGTGGCTTGGGGTTGGTGTGAATGATTAAACAAAAAGAAAGCACCGATCACATAAAGTCCCCCCTAAGCCAGTGTCAAGCAGCTTTGCATCCTCCCCCACTGAGGAAAGACAGTTTCATCTCAGTTCTTCCTATCCTGGGCATCACAAACCCAGAAGCAGAGCTGGGGCCTCTTCCTCAAGAGTTCGCTTCATTTACCTTGTCCAGGAAGCCCAGGTTATCTTCTCAATGACCATGGCTTCAGTTACCTGCTTCCCCAGGGGAACTTCATGGACTTGGCGCTTATAGGTTCCTGTTGACACCTGCAAGAGGAGAGGAACTGAGTCCATCTGCTTCCTTAGTCACACAGACTTTCTTGGCTGTCTTCCTGAACACTAACTGTCCCAGTTATGCTTTTCTTTAAACCCAAACTCAACTCCTAGCTACAAAGCCAGTAAATAGTTCATTTCCCCACAGCCCATGTTAAATTTCATAGAGTGGGGTGTCTTCTACCCATCCCCCCACAGCCCATGCTAAAATTCATAGGCAGAATATCTATCCATTTCCACCCCCACCCTGAGGGATGATGAACATGTCAAGTGCCCTCTAGGAGTCTCCTGGAAGAAATTGGCCACTGTTTTCACATTAAGGGACACTTGCCAGCATCTTACATCCTAGGTCCCTTCTCCCCACGGTGATGATGCCTTTACCTACATCACCAGGGTTTTTCTTGAGTTCATGGAAAGAGCCTAAATCCGTCCCACCTCAGGGTTTCAATGCAGATGGCTTGGAACAGAAATCCTGCCCCCTTTGTTAACTCCCTCCTACACAGCAGACAGAGCTCAGCCTAAAGAATGCTTGTTTAGAAAGGAGGCAGGTCTAAGTTGAGTGCCTCTTCAGATGCTGCCTGACACGCTACACTCCCCACACAAGCATGACGTGTCTATCAGTCCTTGCCTTCTCTGTGGAAGCATCATCAGTTCCAGAAGAAATGAACATACTGTATCTATCCAAAAGCCCGCCTAGCCTGACGCTTGGTTTGATAAATTTGAAAAATGAATATAAGCACTCCTCTCTCCGGGCTCACAGATGCTGAATGCTGAAGGAACTTTTGTTTTTAGCCGTGAGTCCCAAAGGACCCCTTCATGATTTCTGCAGCCCACTCGGGTGTGCATCAGCCATACTGCCCAATAGAATTGGGAGGATAAGCAATCGCAAGCTTAGTGCAGCCCTAAATAACTAGAAATTTGAAAGTTTTCTAAAAATTAATGTTAGTCCACATGTGCATGTGTGTACATGCATGCAGATGTCTGCTGTGGTGCATGTCAGAGGACAAACTGTAGGAATCAAGTGTCTCCATCATGTGGGTGGCTGGGGTGGGGGGAAGGGTTGAACTTGGTTAGCAGTAGGCACTGTTACCGGCTGCGCTATCTCCTAGGCCAGAAATTAGGAAATTTTGATCATGAGCTGTCGAAAGTAGGCTAAAGGTGACTAGGGATATGCTCCCTGGTATTCATGTTTTGTTTTTGTTTCTTACTAAAAGATGGGTACACAGACACACACACACAGTTACTTTCTTAATCATCCAAGTCTCTGTCTCTACGTTTATAAAATAGGGGGAAAGGAATAGTACTTGGAAATTGCCCATAATGGGTAAATTAGCATGGTGCCCAGGACACAGTAAGCACTTAACTATAGAGACACTGTTTTTTCCTGGTTGCCCGAGACAAGGTAATCAGAAACATACCTGAATGTATTTGCTGTCCGCAGAAAAGTCCATCTGAATGACAAAGCTTGGGATGTCTTTGCAGTAGCCAATGCGGTTCAGACTTGTGCCCTGAGTAAGGTCATAGAAGTCAACCGTGTGCTCCGAAGAACCCACAGCTAAGAATCTGTTGTCTGGGCTGATTCTGAGGAAAAAAATGAAAAGCAAGGTCCATAAGGAGGCAGATCTGCACACGTAAAGATGGGCAAGCTCTGTCCCAAGCCCAAAGATAAGAAGTTCCCAACGTACACGTGCCTTGCTTCTCCCCAGGCTCAAAGAAATTAAACAATTTTTCTGAATATAATCCCACAGGAAAAAAAATGGTGTTATGTAGTCTTTGGTAGAATTACAAGTACTTTTATCATCATATCTAAAAAGACTGTGTGGGAGGTACCCTTGATTTGCTGGCTGTGGAGTCAACCCTTTCAACTCAGCTCTGTCTCCCCAACATCAACAGAAGGCCCCCTGTAAGGAGTGCTTACCCTTCTGGCTCAGACACCCCCACTATGTACCTGATATCTTGGATGGCAGATTTCCGGTCTCGTTTTTTCCCCCAAACTTTCAGGCTGTTCACCAGCAAGATGACGAACTCGCCATTCTTCATGCCAATGGCCACCATCTCCCCATCGGGGCTATAGGCTGCACACCTGGCCGCATGGCCCAGGTTCACCTTGTTTAACAGTTTCTACATGGAGACACAGTCATGTAAGCCCTCACCACCTGGGCTGATCTCTGGGGGATGTCATCAGGACAGGGAAATCAGACTACTTCAGCTCCCACTGAAGGCCACCAGTGCCATCTCTGCTTGGGGGATAGCACCTTTTAGGACAGGGTTTGACAAACATTGCCTGTTGTCATAACTTTCCATTGAGCACTGTGGGATCTGTGTTCTAATTACCAGCTTTGCTAGGCCAACTGTGGACAGTAGATAGCAAATGTGACTTCACCTATTGAAACAAGCAGCTGGCCAGACACAGGCCTAAGGCTTTGCCAGCCTCTTGCTAAAGGAAAAGAATGTGAACTTCCACATACTAGCCAGATCTTGGCTCACTTTCTAGTTGGGTATGTGCATGTACATTATTGCCACTACCCCTACACTACAGAAAGGATACTGAGAGCAGTCTTGGAAGGTTTTGTAAGCATTAACAATAGCATACAGGGAACATCCCTTCTACAGTGGGTTTTCAGTAGAGGCCGCCTTTAGTAAACAATAGCTTAGAACTAAACCATAACACACATGTTCCTGGCTGTTCTTTGACCCTTACACTGAAAATGTGACCAAAACATTTCCTAGCCATTTTGAAATAGAATTTGGTGTTTATTTTGTACTGGATAAGGCTCAGTGACCCTTTTCTTGATATTTTACATGTTTTCCCCAGATGATCTTTAAAGTTGCTTTCCCAACCTTCCTGGGATCGGACAGGAACATCTGACACCCTCAAACGTTTGTATCCTTCTCCCTCTCCTCTTCTCCTTTCATAAAAAGACAGTGATTCTCAGTTTGATTATTCCAGAGTTATCAACATCTGGGGCTCAGTAGATTGCTGGCCTACTATGCATGACGCCCTGGGTTTGCTCCCCCACACTGGGTCACCACTGCTGGAGAAGTAGCGGCAAGAAGAGTCAGAAGATTCCATGTCTTCCTTTATTTCACATTAAGCTCAAGGCCAGCCTGGGCTATAAGAGACCCCTTCACAATACAAGTCTGTCTAGACAGATGAACTGCTGAAAGGGCAGATGGCATGTGTGAGGGACTTTTATTAATAGGCTTTCTAACTTAATGCTGAACCAATCTACCCCCATCTCTGGCTTGACATGGGCCCTCTCTGTTCCTATGGCTATAAGCCTGACAGTAGGCTCCTTACCTTGTCAGCCAGGTCCCAGATCCTTGCTGTGCCATCATTGCTAGCTGAGATGAACATGTCCTTGGAAGGGTGTGTGGCTAGGCCCCAGATTTCCCCCTCCATGTGGCCGTCAGTCAGGATGTTGGAAGCGGCACTTTTTTCCCCGACTTCAATTATTTCACCATCTTTGGTTCCTACTAAGATTTTTCCCTGTCACGATAAAATACTATTAGAAAAGAGTCCAGTCATTTGAGGTCCCCAGAATGATCTAGTTCTCGGGACACAAAAGAGAGGTGGGTACCAGGGGCAGGAGGGGAAGGAAGAGCTGATGTTCAATAGTCAAATATTTTCTTATTAAAATATTTGAAGGTGACAGTGGTGGTGGTTGCACAAGAGCGTTTAATGGCAATGATTTGTACACGACATGGTTAAAATGCTAAGTATTATGTATTTTTGCCACAGTGTAAAAATAATTTAAAAGCACTGCGCGTTGTTACTAAATCAGGAAGAGCTAAGGCGACTTGCGAAGGACTGAACATCTGTCAGTAAGAACCCCCCTTCCCTTCTCACTTTGCCTTTTCAACAGTTGCCTTGGGTAGGAGCTAGCAGAGTCCTCCATCTTGTCGAACATCCCACAGACGACTGACTTAATTCCTCCCAGGGCCATCTCAGGTGACCCTGGCCAGTAAGTTGGTCTGAGAAACACTAATCTTGTGTACCCAGTGTAGCTTGCAAACGTCATTGCATCCTGACAACTACAACTGATCCTGCAATTGTTGTTATAGTCTGTTTCTAATAAAGGTGTAGAAGATCTGATTGTACTCAATAAACTGTGACCCCTCTAACTGGCCTGACTTTACTCTTTTCGGCGTACTCAGCAGCCATGGGTCAGTAAGTATGGCTGCTTACAGGTATTGTTCAGCTTCTGAGAACAGTGATTGAAGGGACAGTGGCTCACATTTCCTAAATGACTTCCTGTCAGGTAGACAGAGAGACACCCTGAGCTATGAAACATAAAGCCCTCACGACTGACCTAGGTGCTGGACACACAGGTCAGAGACGCACCTGGCGTCCTGGAGGAGGAGGTTCACTTGGCTGTGACTGACTGATCTACACATAATATAGTCTGAGGAAACACATACCAGCAAAGTGACAGGAAAAAAGAAAGCCTGCTGGGACACACACACACACATACACACACACACACACACACACACACACACACACACAAACCCCGTCTCCCTCCTCAGCCCAGCCCTTAGGAGTGGCTCGCACAGGGCCAGCCATCCTCACCTTGCCGCGGCACACCGAGCGCACACACTCCACTAGCTGCCCTGTTTCCAGCTGGAAGGCCCGACAGCGCTTCATCTCCTGGTCCCACAACTTTACAGCTCCTCCTTCCTTAGTCCTAAAAGTGGCATAAAGAAGCACTTACCCATTGCCTCAAGACTTCCCTTCCCAGCACCCTCTACACCAGACACTGATGGCATGACGACCTAGGCCCAGGAGATTTCCTAAATTGCCTTCAAATGCATACATATGGAGGAAAGCAAGTGTAAGCGTCAAAGCCAGTATGTTCTCATTAGCCTACTAATAGAGTGTCTCACACACCCTGCCTTCCCACTACAGGTCCCTCCTTTTTGTCCTCCCTTCCCCCAAGAGCTGCTCTGAGTAGTATTTACAAGAGCAAAGTCACACAGCTTTTTGAGATGTATCTCCTAAGGTTTTAACTGCTAGTGGCCCTGTCTGCTGCTCTCTTGGAAAGACCTTGGGCTCTCCTGCAGAGATGGCAGACTGATCTAATACAGAAAAGAGAGGGACACCACATTTGGCAGAGGCTTCTGTCATTTTACCCCAAGATAGTAGCAAACACGTCCCCAAGAGGGACCTATGCTTACGGCCGTTCTTTTCCTCCAGTCACAATAAGCCCGTCTCGGAGGGTGGTGTACATTGTAAAAACAGGACCTGTGTGAGCCTTGGCCACCAGCCGGATGAGGAAGTACTCCTTCCACACATAGACATCTCCATTGATGGCACCAGTAAAAGTGAGGTTGTTCTGCAAACAAAGGGACATCTTGGGAACCAGGAACACGCTGAAAGGTTCTTTCTCAGACACTAGATCTTTTTTTTTGGTTTGAGATTAATCTTCATTATTTTTAATTATGCATGTATGTGTCCAGGCACATAAGTATAGGTACCTGTAGAGGCTGGAGGTGTTGGATGCCATGGAACCAGAATTACAGGGAGTCATAAGATATCCCAGTGGGTGCTGGGAATCAAACTAAGGTCTTCTTGAAGAGCAATAAATGCTCTTAGCCTGAATGTTCTCTCCATCCAGACTGGCTCCTTTGCTGAGAGGATCCAGCATTATCAGTCTAATCTGAATTAAGCCAAACAGATTTGCAGAGAACCCTGGCACATGAGACAGTGACCTGGCTTTGTAATTTACTTGCTAATTGGCTTGGGCATTTTTGCATCCCTATTCTGTGCAACTCTGGAGCATCAGCATGAGGCAGACCTCCACAGGCCCCCAAGGGGGAAGGGCCAACCCTAACCAGAGAGGAAATCTGCATAGGACACATCAGACTTGAAACACCAGGAGCTGCCTTACATATGCCAGAAGTTTCTACTGGCTGGGGTATTTGTGGAGGAGGTGGGGCAGGAAGAAAAAGGACCACTTCCTGAGGGTGGAAATTATTCCCAGCATCTGCAGGGGTTGCCTAAGTAGTGTCTACTCTGTGTCACCTGCCCTGGGTGGTGACCTTACCCCTTCATGGTTGCTCTGTCAGTTTGGATGGATTAAAAATCATCATGGAAACAACTTCTCTATGTCTCTGTATTTCTAGAAAAGACAATGTAAATGGAAGACCACCCTGAATGTGGGTGGCAAGACCCCATCCTCTGGGGTGTCAGCCTGGGTAAGGAGGATGAGCTGAGCACAAGGAGCCCACTTCTCTGCCTTCTGCCTGTGGACACCACGTGCTCATGCTGGACCGTAATGTCTCTCCTGTCACAATGCTCTGAGCCTAACACACCAGCCACAGTGGACCTCTCCTTGGTTAAGTCACTTTCCTCAGCTATTCTGTCATGTCAATGAGAATAGTAACTAATACTTTTTGACTCAACATTTTGAGAACAATAACAACAAAGTGTAAAATGTAGTTAATTAAGGGACTTGCTTTTGCAAGAATGAGGTCTTGAGTTCAATCCCTAGAACCTACATTTTAAAAATCCTGGTGGTGTATGTGCTTGTGTGTCAGTGCTAGGTACTGGAGACAGGGAGATAGATTCTTGAGGGTCATGGGCCAGCCAACCTAGCCTAACTAACAAGCTTCAGGTTCAGTGGCAGACTGTCTCGATGGAGCGAACACCACCTATGGTCGCCCTGTGGTATCCACTCTTACACACATCCACCAGCACACTGACAAACACATGTGTGCACACATTGAGATCAATCCACCTACCAATGCTAAGGACAGGGAACCCTTATTACCGGAAGCCACTTAAGAGACAATGTGGAAATGGCTTTCTTGTTGATTTTAGCTTCTTGGACAACCTCCTCCCCACCATCTCATGCCCATGCCTGAGGGATTCAGGACCCTCTTTGAGGAAGCATCTCCTGGAACTCACAGCACCAAAAGCCACGGACAGCATCGTCTGCATCTTGGCGGCTTCCATGGACCCGATGACCCCTTTCTTGTATAGCAGAGCGCTTCCCGCTAGAGTCCAGAACTTCATATGTTTGACTCCAACAGATACAAACTGTGTGTCTGAGTCAGGGCGAAATTCCACCACAAATATTCGTTCCAGGTGACCCCCTCGGCTGGCAACCTTGGTACCTGTGTGGGTGACAGAGTCCAATAAAGCCAGTCCTTTTTCTGTTCACAGACCAGGGCAGGAAGTTGCAGCCAAGGCTGGTCTTCCATTCACTCTGAATAAACTCAGTGTTCCTTTAACTGCATCAACTCCCTCTCAGACATCCCAAGGAGGGCATATATGAGTGTCTGGGTAATTTCCAGAGAAGTGGGTGCTACTAATAGAACTCTCACCCACAAAGAAGTAGTGTAGGAAATGACTGTGGTCAGTGAGGTGGAAGCTTCTAGACAGGTAGAATTGATCATACCCACATCTGCCTCATCCCAAATCAGAACTATTCACCCCAGCTTGCCCCTCCCGTCTCAAGGTCACTTGGGCTCAGATTCTTCAGACACTTTTTGTTTTCTTCTTTCTGCTCAGAATTCCCTGCATTTATTTTCTTTAACCTTAGCATTCCTTTTCAGTTTGTGGGGTTTGGGTTTAATTTTTTACTTTTTTATTTAGTTACTTGCTTTTCTTACTCCATATTCTAAATGTCTTCTGTGACTCCCTGAGCCTACATCTTGAATCTGAATTCCACTTGAACAACTTGGAACATCTTAACTTCTCTGCTCTGCCCTCGGTTTCCTCGCCTGTAGTCAGCAATACTGCCTGCTAAGACGTGGTGAGAAGCCAAGAATTGATGGAGGGGCAAATGCTTGGCCATGGTGACTATTCCACATTGGTGACTGACTTTACCATTCCTTTGGATCCTTTTAAAAATTCTGGGTTTCTATTCCTTTTGCCTGCTTTTGAAGACTCTCTTTTTATTCTTTTAAATCCTTTAAGGTTACATTATTTTAAACTTGTTACTTTTTCCTCAAGGCTCTTTCCAAATGCTCTCAATGTTTCAGGTCCAATTCCTTCTCCTCCTCTTTATTGTTTATCCAGATCTTTTTCTTCTCATCTTCTGCTCATTTGTTTTTCACGATGGCTCTCCAGGAGAGCAGAGGATGTGTTGGTAGTGAATTTTGAATGAAGTTGGCCCACCCTTTAGCTTCAGATACTCCACGAAGGAAGCCTTTTCTGGGGAGGGGGGTGTCAGGAGAGCCCCTCTACTCCATACAATGACAAAAACACTCACAGCAACTGAAACTCATCACAGTAGTGACAGATGCCTCACTACCCGGGGCTTTAAAAACCTATGGACTCCAAAGATAACATAAATCAAGTTTGAAAGCAAACAACAGATAAGAAGAAAAGTATCCACAACCATTATAAAAGTCAGGATTAACATTAATGATCTATAAAGACCAACTCATCATTGTAGGTAGACACTCTTGGCTCCAAGGGAAACACCTTTCAGCAGGCAGATTATAGAATCAGCAGTGTAAGTGGCCAATAAGAGATTCAAAGAGGATCAGCCTCACTGGCTATGGAGGAAATGCAAAATTATAATGAGAGTCATAGTTAAACCACTGGTTTTCTCCCTTGTTTTAATATCATAGGTATTTTTCATTGTAGAGATAGTGACTTGGTCTCTAGTCTGTTCAGAACAAGTTACATAGACATATAGGACCTGAAACACGTGTTGTATCTCATAAGTTCACTTAAAGTTATTATTATATAATAATATTATATAGTATATATTAAGTATTTTATTATTCACACACATGCTCTCCAAAATGATCCACTAGCAACTCAGGAATGCATACCATGCTCCTTACTGATAACACAAATGTATATACGTGCTCCCCCAATATGTGCTATTTATAGGAAGGCAGGACTTGAAGGAAAAAAAAATACCACACTAGAGAAGGAAAGAGAAGCCATGTCCATTCAACTGTGAGGAGGTGGTTTCTGGTTAGAGCCTTTCTGTGTAGACTGACAAACACAAGACGACCACCCTTCGAGCTGCTCCCCTCCTGGGAGCTCATGAAAAGGACTGACTTTTCTAGTTCTCACTGCCTTGGGAGGTCAGAAGAGCCTCAGACAAGAAGAGTCTAGAGCTAAGGCTAGAGCAGGCCTTGGAGCCTGAGGGACACGTAGGGGAGGCAATGAGGGAGCATGAGCTTGAGGATGAACAGGGTAGGGCCACGGACTCACTCTTCTCTCAGGAACTGGGGCTAGAGTCAGCAGCCTGAGCACAAGGCACCTGGAACAGAGCTCTGCCATAGAGAGAGGACCTTATGAAAAGAACTAACAGTGGGCGGGCTTCTCAGGAAGTGATGGGGGCTGTGTCCTTGGAGATACCCATGTAGATGGAAGAAAGCCTGCCAGGAAAGAACTGCAGGACTTCTGTGGGTTGGTCCTGGAAGGTAGGTAAAAGATGTTCCTAGACCTTCCATCTCTGAGATGCTTTGAGGCTGTAAGGTAAGAAACTCCATTTCTCATTGACACTGTCCAGTTGATTCACTGACCACCTGCTATCATAAGCAACCAATCTGCATCCCAGAGAGATGGGTTGTAGGGACACTTGGACACAATGACCTGTCAATAAGAAGATGGTGGTGTGGTTTCCTAAAAGTACTGTGGGTCTGGCTGGCTTCCAGTTCAGTGTAAGGACATTTGTCAGCCACTGGCCTCTCTTAAGTCTGGCTCAAGAAAGATGGCATTTTTCTCAAAATGTATACATCTGCTTAAAGCCCTTCTTCCCGTCCCTTCCACGAGAAGATAAGGAGATAACGGATTTTCGAGTCCCAGATTGGAGACGCACCACTTCTCCACTCGCCTGCTCAGCGCGTCCCAGATATTCGCTGCAGACAGACCTCATTATTGTCCTTACTAATTGGATCTGCTTTTGCCAAGGCCGATCTGAGGATATACTCAGAAAATTGCATACTTTTAATTGTAAGACAATTACAAATTTAGTAGCAGCTGCACTCTCTCTCTCTCTCTCTCTCTCTCCCTATTCCTCTCCCTCTGTTGGAGATGAATAAGAAAGAAAATCATTAATTATACTATAAACCAGTGGTTCTCAACCTTCCTAATGCTGTGACCCTTTAATACAGTTCCTCATGTTGTCGTGACTCTGACCATAACATTATCTTTGTTGATATTTCATAACTATAATTTTTCTACTTTATGAATCATAATATTTGTGTTTTCTGATGGTCTTGGGCGACCTCAATGAAAGGTCATTTGACTTCTAAAGGCATCTTGACCTACAATGATTAAGGTGAATTCTCATTTCAGAAGCATTAATGCTTAAAAATACTTGAACAGCTAAAATTTGCTTTCAGTGACTTTGGTCACTTCAGTTCTCTTAAGGCAGCCAAGGTAAAACAGTTGGAGGAGAATCCAGAGGCCACCAGAAAGAGCTCTGAGGACAGTGTCTGGGTGGGAGGTGGTGAGGATGCGCTGGGACAGTGTTAGCACTCTCCCAACATACCCACAGATCCTTCACTAGCCACCACAGTTTCTTGAGCTGCCTCCAACTGGCCATGGACCGGGGGTGGGGGGATAGAGTGGGTCTGAGAGCAGCTTGCCAGGGCTTGTGCTTGCCTCAAAGCAGGACCCATGAGAGAAGGTTGGGAAAGGCAGTCTGGAGCTCCATCCCAGCTCACTCTACAGGGAACCCTGTAGAAGCAACGTGAAGCCCGAATGTTACCTTCTTGCCATCTCCAGACAGTAATGGTGTGCTCTGGATCCACGCCCACGGACACCAGGAGCTTCCCGGTTGCACTGAAGTTGATGTAATTCACCCCCTTGGTGTGGAAGCACCGCAGCATGGAAAGGGTGTGTTTGGTCATTGCATCCCAGATATGAATTGAAGGTGTTGTCCCTGAGTGTGGGAGGCATGACAGAGATGGTGGCGCCTCAGTGTTTGTGTTCCATTAAAGGCCTTTCCTCAGACAGTTACAGTGAGGGTGGCATAAGAGACATCTAGTCTGACCTGGCCAAAGAAAGACACTGAGGAACTTGGTGCTGAAGGTAGAGCATGTGGACATTTATGATTGACATGCTTGCAGAGGGGTTTATTCAGAGGAGACTGGTGAGGATGGGTTTGTATCTGAAGCACAGCCAGATACAACTAGCACATGATACATTGACATGATCTTGCTGGGCGGATGGGAACTGTCCCGGCTGAGACAGCCTTACCTGTGCTCTCTGCGGTGTCACCTGCAATGGTGGGCAATGACAATGGAGAAGCATCAAGGGAAACAATAGCAAAGTAAGTCTTGTTCCTACCAGTGCAGCGCTCAGCCCCAGCCCAGCAGACTCCAAATGAAGCATTAAAATGGACATGCTTTGATGAAAGCAAGCAAGAGACTCTTTTGTAAGGACTTCCTTTGAGAAGACAAAGTAAAACCAAAAGCAGATGACGTCACAAATGTGCCAGTTTACATTTGTGGCAGGCAGTTTCTCAGGGAGTCGGCACACATGCAGCAGTACACCCTTGGCAAGCAGAAATGTCAGGCTTCAAGACGTGGGGCTCCCTTACACCTAGGGGGTCTCATCTGCAAAGAAGAGGACCATCTATTTGTTTAATTATCAGCCTTTGGTCTGATGTTATGGTCCCTCAGAATCACTGGTCACTACATGTAGCAACACAAGTTACACAGGTGCTATATTTTAAGACTCAAAAAAAAAATCAACTGAGACATCAGCAAAAAGGGTCTAAGCTGCCCCTCTCCTGAAAGTGCCGATAGACCAGTAGCCTTGGATAGCCATGAGAACAGCAAGAAGCCAGCAAGGAGCCCTACCTATCTGGCTGGTGGCCACCACATTTCTGTACTTTGGGTGCTGATTCACTGTGAGGCAGAGGATGTCATCCGTGTGCTCCAGGTAGAAGCTCTGGCTGCCTGGAAAAGAGGAACCATGGGGGGTGAGCACTGAGATCCGAGGGCTCTCTGCAGCTATCACAAAGCTGAACTGGGATATCTGGAAATGCCTTATAAAAGATTATGCTTTTGGAAAAGCCAAATTATCATTTTCAGAATTGTCCTTGGGGCTATGGGGGACTGTTTTAAAAAAATTCACATGCTCTGATGTAGATCTGGAAGGATAAAAGCTAGTGCCCTCAATCTGCCTTAGTGTTTCCCACTGCCTGTGAGGGTCCAGCACACAGACCAAGCACAAAGTCTTCCAGGGACTTAAGGATGAACTTTATCCCTCTTCCCCTTGGCAGATCATCTTCTCAGCGTCTGCCCCTGCTCTGAAAGAGGGGCAGGGATACTGAAAACCATGATGCTGAAGGTGTTGCTGGACTAGGAGAACTGACCACAGAGTCCCCGGAGCAGGACTCATCCACCTGCGTGTCTGAATGGCCCAGGTCAAAGCTTTATCCTAAGTCAACATAGTTCCCATAAAGTGGAAGGAAGTATTTTACCATCTATTGCAGTAAGTGTGTTTTCAGACTTCCTAAAGGCCCTTTAAAATCCACTCAAATGCCCAAGTGGTAGCGTTGAGAGTCAAGGGGATAGAGCATAGTGCTATTAAAATCAAGGCATGTGCCTTAAAAAATTGAGAAAACATGAAAAACCTCAAAGCCTTCCTAAGCCAAAAGGGAGGAAAATCAAAATGAGTCAGTGACTGGACTCAAATCTATCCATGAATTACATGGACCCAGCACAGAACATGAGCTATGAAGCTGGTAAGATGGAGGGCTGCTATATCTGGTCTGGTGGTGAGGATATGGATGTGGGTCTGTTACACACTCTCTGTTTGAAATATTTCCTTTTAAAGCTTTATTTCCTGGTTGAAATCATGGTGAGAGAGGGTGCAGAGTACTTCTATTGATGACATTCTTTCTGTGAATATTGCTCCAGAGTCAAAACAACCTGGGTCCTATGGCACACACTTCTAACTCTAACACTCCGGAGATGGAAGCAGGAGCATCACCTCTCTGAGAGATGGAAACTGGCTCCATTTGCTTTCCTCTTAGCCTCATTTCTGTTTCCAACCTGGCTTCTCTCCAGACGCTCTTCCCTCTGACTGCAGAGGAGCTGGCAGAAGCACAGGTAGCTCCTGCCAGTACCTACACCATGGTCAGTCCAGGCCAAGGCTAGAAAGGCAGGAGGTCTAGATCCCAGAGCTGAGAGGGCAAGGCTACCTGTAGAGAGGTTCTGCACGATGCCAGTGGCCGCAGTGTGGAAAATGATGTCGGCACCGTCATTAAGGTAATGCAGATTGTTGCGGCAGTCAAATCCTCGGTAGCCAAACACGTGGTCCAGAGCCAGCTCCTGCATACACAGTTAGTTACCCTTAGAGGTTAACAGTGGAGAAACAATGTCACACTGCACACTGTACAAGTAGCCATATTTGTCACAGGAACACTCTGTGAGGCCGACATCACTCACCGAAGGTACTGAACCAGCTGAGGATGAAACACAGCCCCCTTTCCCAGTCCTCTGAAATGTTAAATAACAGTGACTTTCCCTAAATAAACCAAAGTGACTTCTAGGTTCTTAGGGCGAGTCACAATGTGCAGGCTGGGTGGCCTCCAGCGGTCACCTAGAAGTCTCACATGTACGCCCTGGCAGATAGTCACTCCTTAGCTCAGCTGAATAATGGCACAGAGACTACCATGAGCAGGTCCCATAAGCAGCTGTGACTAGTCGAGGCTGCTGGGTGAGCCAAAGTCATGCCTGATGTGTTGGTTATGACTCATCCCACAAAGTTTCTGTGCATTTGTGTTTTTTCAGCAACTACACAGTATGCTGGATTCAGTTTTCTCTTTTGTCTCATCCTCTAGGACAAAGAGCAGTGGCAGATTCAGATCAACTCTTGATTCTGTTCAACACACTTGTCCTGAGCTCCTCCATGCCTGGCCCTGTGTTAGCTCCAAAACAAGGTTTCTAGTGGGTGGGTCCTACTTCTCTAGGTCCCCAATTCTGGTCCTAACTGAAGCTTGTCAATTGCAACACCACATTGGAGCTCCTAAAACGCAGTCGTCATCTTTTTGTCTTTAGGGTAAAGTCTAAACTCCTTGAGTTGGCACAAGACTTCCTCCCCCCCACCCCCCACGACCATCTTCTGAGCATACTGGGTAAGCTGACTGACATTCAGCCCATTGATCACAGGCTTTTCTAGTGATTCAACCTGTTTTCTAACGTCCCTCTGGCCTGGAAAACCTTTCTCTTCCTTTCAACTAAATGAGTCTCTACTCACCCCCAGAGTCCCCCAAAGTGTTTCCCAAGAATGTATGTAATATGGGACATTACCCTGAATACAGTAGCCAATTGAACCAAGAGAGGTCAGTGAGACTGTCTGGGAATTTAGAATAGACATTGGTGTGCTCAGTAGATTAACCACTCCAGGAGCTGTAAACTCAGGAAGCACTAATAGTTCACTGATTATAGCAGCAGTTCAAGAATTTCTTAGAGAAAAACCATTTCAGGGACCCATGAGCCTTTGCTTGACAGAAGATAGGGACCATCTGGGCTTATGATGGCCCTTCTACTGTTGGATCCTGTCCAAAGTCCCACACCAGCTGTGTTTCCTAACCTGAGCTATCTTACAAAATAAATATCTCAAAAAAAAAATCCTTTCCAGAAAAAAATTTCTGACATCAGTGAGAATTTATGTTTTATATTAGCAGAGGCAGACATATATAAAAATGGCAGACAAGTGTACTGAGGCCTGTGGAACATGGGTGTGTGGTGGAGCTGGGTAAGAGGGCTCAGGATGAGGGATATTATAAATGAAGGTCCCAGAGAGACAACCCAGAGAAAGTTCTGGAAGAACTACAGTGTGGGGAACTGAGAGGTTCTGCATCCAGGCTGCAGAATTAAAAACACAGGACTTCATAGCTCCAGACCATTGGAGAACATTAGTTTGGGGTTAGAAGTTTTTAGTTGTAAGGGACTCATATGTCATGAGCTGGCAAGGCCACTCTGGTTGAGGTTTTCAAAGCATAAATATGACTCTCATTGACAGTGAGACTCTTTTGGATATTAAAGCCAACACAAGCCATAAAAAATTTGAACTTTGAAGAGAGGACACTAGACTTAGGTCTATGAAAGCAGCAGGCTCACCGGAGCTTATCCTCAAGTCTCAACTGTCAGCTCAGATCTCCCCCGACCCCCGGACTGGTGACCGTGGGAATGGGTCCCATGAGCTGTCGGGTCATTCTTCCACCATAGGTCCCTCGTTTGCAAAGGAAAGTAACAGTCCCACCTCTCAAGTGAGAAGTGGAGAAGAAACACATACAGTGCCTGGCACTGCAGCAGAAGAGATGAGAGACAGTGACGGCTTACGTGCTACCCACTCCCTTCCTGTCCCTAAAAAGGAGCTGAAGTCTCAGGAGGCTGAGTGCACAGAACAATGGAGCCAGGTTTGAGGGACACAATGCTTTTATAGTTAGTGATGATTTAGGTAAGGCTTGGTGACAGGGCTGAGGGAGAAGAATGTGACCCAGTAGTCATGTAGTGTTGGTCCCAGAGATGGGACAGGAGATACAATACCATACAGAATGGCGATGGGGACAGGAGGGAGCCAACAGACCACGTTTGGGTTTATTTGGCGGGATGTACCCTTAAGTCAGGCAAGTGAGGCCGTCACCTGGCTGTGTCATAGCATCAGTAATCAGAGAAATGTGTGATCGCTGAACGTCCTCACCTCAACCAGCTTCTTTTTTTTGGTGATGTTGTTCTTCTGGAGTTTCTCAGGCTGGGGAGCTGCACGGCTAACGGGTGGTCTGAAACAGAAGTCAGAAGAAGCAGAGGGCTGAATAAAAGGCTGCTGGCCCAGTAGCTAGCTAAAGCCAGAGCCAGGGAGGTCCTGAGGACATTCCCCTGTGGGACTTTCTGTTCAGCTCGCCTCTCTCACCCCATTAGAAACAATACCTTGACATACGAGCTGTCCCACTGCAGACGTGGGTCTGGACTCACAGGTCACAGTTGGTTCTCTACACTATAGCATTTTCATAGCATCAGGTCCCACTTCCCCAATACCTAACAGTATCCTGGGGCCCAAGAAGAGCCCTTGGCTAGAGGGACTCAATTTAAAACTAAGGACTAGCCCACGTTTGCAAAAGAAGAGGTCATGCTTCCTGACCTCACTGGCCATTTCTCCAACAGGTGATCAAAAGCCTAGCCTGCTGTGTAGCAGGGTTTGGAGGCCAGGCTTTGGAATAGACCCTGAGGTCATCTGAGAAGTATCTGGCTGGTCTGGCCACAGACGAGAGCAGGAGGAAGAAAAGGCTGAAAACCTCATCCCCCCACTCTCGTCTGCCACTCCAGGTTATGATCCACGTCAAGCTGCTGTCACTACACCAAGGTTTGCTTTTCCCTTTTAAATTTTGGCGAATGATACTCCCAAATTTAGCTAAGAGATTTTACTAAGAGGAATCACTAAAGGACTCCTATACAAGTAGGCCAGTTGTTGACCACAGTGGGTTCCCTTTAGCCAGACTTCTGCAATCTTGGCATGGGAGGAGGGAGTCCTGCAGCAGCTCCTGTCCCAAGTCCCACACCAGCAGTCAGTGTTCTAGGGAAACACAAAGAGAAAGAATTACCTGGATCCCCTTGGAAGCAGAAAACAAAGGCAAGTAAGAAACTTAGTACAGGTTAGGGCAGCATCAGCAAGCACCTCTCTCATGCACAAGCATGTCCCAAGTGACCAGACATTCCTGTGTGGAACAACCCATGCTTCCCCAGCATGCTAGCCAAGGGCTAAAACAGAAACGAAAGAGTGCACCAGGCTACACGTTTAGAAAGTCATACCCTGGCATCTTTGGGCAAAGTGCACTAAGCGCCTACACCGTGGGAAGAGAAACGGAAGCCTTGCCAATGCTTCCTGTGAGCTCACTTTCATGCCTGAGGAGTTTGCTTAGTTTAGAGTGTGCTGGGGAGAGACTCATTGTCACGAAACAACATCCTCTCGGATGACTTGAACAAAGCACAATGAGTGTCTTTGTTCTCAAATTAATTTTGACTCATAATTTAGCCAAATAATTTTCAGGTTTTTCAGTAGGTCAGCTTGTCAACTGGAATAGCTAATGGATTCGGGGGGGGGGGCAGGGGAAACAAGGTACCTTTATTTTCTCAGAAATTCTTCAATCAAAACACATTATGTAATCATAAGTGATAATTGGGCCAAATGGTATTAAAATGGGGAGACAGGACATCTCTGTAAATGACATCCCCAATTGACATCTTTATCACCAAATTGAGCAAAATCTTGGGATTGGGGCATGCCAGTTCCCTCAACAGACAGTTCCTGCACTTCCGTTATTACCTCCCAGGACATCTTCTCTTTCTTCTGTTTTAGTGGGTCTTTCAAATAAAATCTGTGGGCTTCTTCTTTTACCTAGGAATGTTGAAGTATATGACAAAAGCAAGCAGGGGCTGCAAGGGGAACAGGAATGTGCCAGATCTACCTCATGGGTCAGAACTTCTGAGTCAACACAGGGCTTGGCTTCAGGGTACACACAGGTTGTATAATATACAACATATTATACAGTATAGAGTATGCATACAAGCGCAAACACTGTATATATATATATATAAATATATATATATATATATACATGAGATTGTATACATACACAGAAAGGCAATCTGATGCTTTTTGTCATGTTTATTTTCAGTTAAGAAAAAAAAAAAGCCCCAAACTCTGAAAACCGAAGCAGTAGAGCAGTCTGATAGCGTGTCTTTCTTTGTTCACAAGCACAGTCTAGAGCTGCATTGTTTCAAAACTGAAGGCAAGAGGAGCAATGGGAAGAAACCTGCGCCAGGGCAGTCAGTCCCTGAAACCTGCACCAGGGCAGAGTCAGCCCCTTTCAGGACCAACCCTTCCCATTTGCTCATGGATTCCCAGTGACACAGCACTAGGCATTCACTGAACACCTGAGCTTTTCCAGAGTGCTGTGGATACTTACTTGACAATTCCCTGCCTCCAAAGGAAAGCAAGTTAAAACACAATACAAGTATTAAAAGCTTCTTTCCGAGCATCTATAAACAGTGTTTGAAATATCAGTCGTGGGAGGAGCTGCCAAACCCTGAAAGCACAGCTGAACGTTGGTGGGTTAGCATTTTCAGCACATCCAAATCCTTCCAGATTTAGAGCCTACTGGAAATGCCACTCTGAGGACACAAAAAAAATTCACTAACTTTTTGGTCTAATATACTCTTTACAGTTGGTTCCTTGTTTTGGCTCAAGGTCAGGGAGCCAGGAGCACAGCTACTGTTTGGGAAAGGACTCAACAGATTTAAGAGCTGCAGAGGTGATCGGGATGGCCAGATGTGAGGGTGATGGGGGGAAAAGGAACCAAGACACAAAAGAGGGCCTTGAAATGATTCGGAGCAAGGAGCTTCCATTACAGGAAAGACCCTAAGGGAATGGCCCTGAAAGAAAGCCAGTGGGCTAGTCCTGAGAAGGAGATGGACAGGAGACACAGCAGCTTCATCCTCGGGTGAAGTACTGGGGAGGGAGGCGTACTACTGAAGATCTGTCTTATGTTGGTAGAACCTGTACACAGGGAAGGATGGCACAGTGCCGATTCCTCTTTCCACTGGCCTGGCTGCTGAAGCTATCCTGACACACAGCCTTATCTCATGAAGGCCCTCAAGCGAGACTAACATGCCTTAGTATTCCTGTCTATTTCCCTGTCCCCTCTAAAAGCTGCTAGGCTGAGAAATGAGGGAGCAGAGCACTCTAAGACCTGAATTTATAAGAGACCAGAGTTACAGCCCTCAGGAAAGTTCCTGCAGCCAGGATGAGCCACTGGACAAGCTGCTGGGAAAGGAAAGCTCTGAGAAACAAGAGGCTGTGGGGTAGGAAGGCTAGCTTCCCCTCACTACAGAAGACAGGTGTGAAGGGTTTTAGTTTTTAGCTGGACAATGTGCAATGTTGCAAGTATTCTTAGAGGAAATGTAAATTGGTTCAGGTTTTAAAATGGCTCCAAGAATAATGGGCCAGAGAACGCTCCAAGAATTTCCAAACATCTTGGAAAACTCAGCCATTCTCATCACTTGGATCCATTGTATAACTGATCTCCCACTAGATCACGCCACAGACAGGATCCTTGGATTCTGTGAACCCCAGACACAGGACGGTATTTATAAATATGTAGGAAAGGAGGCACATCTAGGGAGGGGGAAGGAGAGAGAGAAAGAGAGAGAGAGAGAGAGAGAGAGAGAGAGAGAGAGAGAGAGAGAGAGAGAATGAATATCTCTACCATAGTCTCAATGTTTCAAGATTGACTCAGGTTTAGAGAAAGTCTCCAAAACTGTGGGAGCTATATATTATCAAAACATTCTATTAGGTCTGTTCCTATGTCTTCCAGAATCATCTACAGCAGTGGTTCTCAACCTTCCTAATGCTGCGACCCTTTAATATAGAGGTGATTTCAGCTATGAAATTATTTTCATTACTATTTCATAACTTTTTTGCTACTGTTATGAGATGTAACGTAAATATCCAATCTGCAGGAGATCTGAGATGTGACCTCTGTGTAAAGGTCCTTCAACCCCCCAAAGGGGTCGTGACCCACAGGTTGAGAAATGGTGATCTAGAAGGTTGCTCAGTGGTGAAGTGGAATGAAGGGCCAAGCATCGGGTAGAGAACCATGGGGTGCTCTGAAAAAGCCTGCCATCTTGAAAATGTGTCTGAAGCCTAGGGCAACACACCTACTCCACAGAGGCCTGGATTCTCATGAATGACTGAAGGCCAGGAGGGCAGCAAAGAGTTGACTGAGCAACACTTGGCGGGTTACTGAAGAGACCTCTACTAATGCAAGGGATGGCTGCTGCTGAACGTGACTGAAGCAGCCACTGGGGAGAAGGCAAGGAAACTGCGAAGCAGGCTTCGCTGTAGCTTCCTGGCTTTCTAGAATGAAGTAACCCCAGCAGAACTCTGAACAGGAGCCAGACTGCAGGGGGTGACAGGTTGTGAGGAGAAATCTTGACTTTAGATAGGCATGGGAGCTTTGAACAATTCTAACTTAAGCTAACTGCAATTTGACCTGAACAATGGGAGGAGCTGGGCTTCTCCAGCTTCACCTCTGGAAAAGCCTGACCGCCCTATAATGCTAGCAGCTTTAATTTTATAAATTATCAGTTCTATACCGAAGTCATGGCTTCGCTCCAAACCAACATAAAAAGCCCTGAGATTTGTAGAAAGAAAACCATTTATGGAAACATCACTAAATTCAAATAAAGTCAACTATGCAGGTTTTTGGTGACCACCCACCTAAACATAGGCCTTAGAAATGATTGATTTTAGCATTTCAGGATTTAAAAGATATTTTAATTTTAGTTTATTCCACCCACCTTAATAAATAAGCAAGAATCTGCTACATTTTACTTGCCCAGAGCAGTCATTGAGAGCAAGTTTTTTACAGACTCTGGGTTGAAGTGAGGAAGAAGAATTGGGCCCAGGGAGAAAAGACTCCAGGAATGGGGCCTGCTTATATAACATCAACTCTCCCACCAGGCAGGCTGGGTTAGCATTTATGCAAAACACAGGCAACCACAGTATTTCATACTAGCAAACTCTTGCGTGCTCCCTCTTCACCAGTGGAACGGGAATGCTGGACTAAAGGACCTTCCCTCCCAGTGGGGCACAGCCAGATCTCAATGCTCCCTGCTTATTGGACTAAGGATTACTGGAGGATTTAGCAGTTCAGGGGTCTCAGTGTGACCTATTCTGCAGCACTTGCTTAGAAAGATTGTCAGTTCTTTGCAACAATTCAAGCTTACAGAGCAGCTATTGACAAAGCAGGACAAAGGGCCTCTGTGAAGCCCACGGAGCCACGGAGGCTGTTCGCTCACAGTTGACATATCATGGAGGAGAGCCTTGTCCTGCTTCATCTCGTCTCTGGCAAGCTTGAAATTCCCACACAGCTACTGATTAAAAGCAACACTTTTTTTTTTTTTTTAATTCGGGGCAGGTTCTCTCTGGAGATTTCCTTCTCCAAACATAGCATAAAAGCTTAGGGGAAAAAAAAAACCTGAGATTGCCTATATATGGTGATTTGCTTTAACTCAAGGAAGTGTGTCTAATTTTCCTATATTTTTAACACTGCCAGTCATGAACATGTTCTAGCAAGCTCTTTGTTCCATCAAACCTTGGCTGGCAAGGCATCTTAGTATGTAAAGTAGATACATGGTAATGGCTGGCAAGGCATCTTTGTATGCAAAGTAGATACATGGTAACGCAAGCTTGTCTATTTTCAGTTCTCTTTGCCTTTTGTGACAAAAACTTAAACCAAACAAACATTACAATTTCTAATGTGTAGATGATATGGATAAAAAAAAATCATTTAATTAAGCTGTCCCTGTAGCTAGTTGGAGCATCCTCAGATTCTGCATGGGTCACCTATCTCTCATAACCACAGGTGCTAATAAAATGAAAGTAAAAACAGTTGCTGAAAAAGAGTGGATTTGCAAAGCCTTTGGAGGGCCGATGCATATACTTACTCATTCAAGAAGCATTTGCTTGCTACTTACTATGTGCACAGCACTGTACCAGCTACCTACTATGTGCAAGGCACTGTACAAGTTACCTACTATGTGAAAGACACTGTACCAGTTACCTACTATGTGTAAGGCACTGTACCAGCTACCCGCTATGTACAATGTACTATGTCAGCTACCTACATGGTGGTACTATGATCATTAACCTTCAAGAAGCCAAGAGTCCTACAGAAAAAGTCTACATATAGTACAAATGTCTCATTGTTACAGGTGAACATATTAAGGAATTGCAGATTTGGAGCAGAAACAAGAAAACAAAACCCGAAGCCAGGCAGCGGTGGCACACGCCTTTAATCCCAGCACTTAGGAGGCAGAGACAGGCGGATTTCTGAGTTTGAGGCCAGCCTGGTCTACAAAGTGAGTTCCAGGACAGCCAGGGCTATAAAGAGAAACCCTGTCTCGAAAAACAAAAACAACAACAACAAAAAAGAAAACAAAACCAGGGCTGGAGAGACAGCTCAGTGATCACTTGCTAGTACTGCCTTTCGGAGTACCCAGCTTGGTTCCCAGCACCCACACATGACAGCTCACATGGCTTATAAGTGCAACTCTTAGGGGGTCTAACACTTCTGATCTCTGAGAACACCTGCATACTCACACACAGATACAACTGATTAAAAGAAACCTAACAACAAACAAATAAAATCCCTAGACCATTTCTTTATAGCATATGTAGCAGACATTGTTATAATTTTTTTTTGCTTAGGTCTATAAACATTATCAAAATTGAAAATAATATTTTAGATCATAATTGAAAATAATATTTTAGATAATATCTATTTGACTATAGGTATGTAAAAAATTTGGAAAATATTAATGCCACAGTGGAATTCTGAGGTTTTTTGCAGTTGTCCCTTGTCAGTTAGCAGGTAAAGACACTGTCATTTAAAGACACTAATAGCCAGCTGGTGAGTAGGCTCTGTGGATGAAGGAAGGCACTTGCTGACCTTAAAGTCTGTGTTTCACCCCCATACTCACATTGTGGAAGAAGTAGTGCATGCCCCACACATATAAACACATACAAACAGATACATAAATGCAAAAACAAGACAAAACAAAAACTGTGTTTTGAGCTCAAAATCTGATGTTAGGGTTGGTAAAAGTTCCTTGTTTTCCTCAGGAATATAAGCCATAGACTTAAGAGTGAATATGTGTCTAAAATATTAATATAAGAGAATACTTAAAGATTCTTTTTCCATAATCCCTGCTAAAACTGATTTTTGCCTTGCCACCTCAATGTTATGGGTACCATTTTTGGATGAATGCTGTTGTTTCTGAGGAGGAACCAAAAGAGCTAACCTAAAGCTAAGCTCCATCTGCAGTCTGTTTTAGGTTGCCATGACACTGTTCCAGAGAACTCATACTTTAATAAGCAGGCTCAGCCCATCAGGAGTTTGGTTCCTAGAGAATCGAGCTG